ATAAAATGAATGCTAACCTTGAAATCCATCCGCTGTTTTAGTTATTCACTTACATGCATTGTTATATATTGCGGTCGCATCACAGATCTATCTGGGTCGCAGGCATATATTAGCTGCTCATAACCTTGGAACCACGAACACAGTTTCTCAGGAGTTGGAATGCCGTCAGAAGCAACGCCAACGCCAGGCATCAGCTGAATGGATAGGAAGACATGACAATCTTTTAGTCGAACCGTAATGAACTTGCTTAATTTACTTAATTGCTATAATTTACTTAACTGTTTGGTGATCAGTTGTTGAACAGCAAATTGGCAGCTGAGTGATAATGATGAACCATAATGACGTCGAACACAAACTTCAACGACACATCCCACATTTCATTCCGTCACTCATTAAGTTGGAGAACAATAAGTGTCAAAAGGAAGCAGAGTGTGTTCATATGTATGCCTCTTTAACAGAATAATTCTTAGGGCTTAAAAAATTCCATGGTCAAATTATCCCGACTGCGGTCGAGTAGCTAAAGGTCGGACGCTTTCACTCTTAGAGGATCGTATCCTCGTATCCTTGAGTGTCATGCATCGCGGGATAGAATTCGCAGAAAATCGTTCATATCTGTCACTAGCAGCAAGCGAGTCAAAGACTTTGGTAATGTCATTTGCCAATTGATTTTATTGTAATTGTTGAAGCCCTGAGGTAGTTAAATCGTTTTTAATTCGGAAATTAAAAGCATGTTGGTAGAAAACAGATGACAGTGCGCATACAACGAAATGCACGTTCCTGAGTACAAAAATAGCGCGGGCAAGATTTTCTATACTTGAAGCGAATCGTCTTGATTGTGCCGAGAACCAAGCAATAATTACAGTAATTTTTAGAAGAAAATAACCTCCTCCTGCAACGCAAAACCTTGGAACAAGTGACCTATGTGTAACCTGTTTCTCACCGCTTGTTCAGCCTAATCCTTTCCGAAGATTAACCCTCGCCTCGCGACCCAAAAGGGCGCAACACTACCAACTACCGAGAAATCTGGCCGCCATGCGACTAACTATACGCGAGGTCAACTAGTTCCTGAACGTCGAGCTAAATGGCAAACCACACCTGCCTCGGAATAACGCGCAAATTCATTCAAGAATGAATGAAGTCTTTCATATCGTAGAACATTGATCGTTTCATCGATTATGAAAGAACATTGACGAATTATCATCATCAAGGTTGCGATCACCGTTTGAATAGTTAGTTAATTGTAAATATTATGAAACAACCTAAACAATTTTTTGGTAGAATAGTGAAGCGTCAACTCCAATCGATTCATTAATTATTCTACGTAAATTAAACCTAAACGCCGTTGGGTCGATGCTTTTCGGATATGTTACATGTGAGGAGAATGCCTTCGATGTTACAAGCGTCAGTTGTTATTTTTCTTATTTTCAGCACTTATTCTCCAAATCTTTGCCGCAGAATTTTAGCTTAAGAATTATTCGAGTTTTGCTACAAAATTTTGAATAAGTAATTAGCGGTTTTTAGATCTTTTTAAGAATAAGCATCCCTAGACGTTACTGGGGTGCTTAATCTCAACAAGGTTATTTGAATGAATAATGGAAACAAATTGGCTACATTTAAGCATTTTTTATGAATTCCAATTCAATGTAAAAATACATTGCAAAACATTAAATCCCAAACGATAAGCTAAACATCTTTGTCAAAGTACGGGGCCTTAATAAGATCACATGAAATTTCAAGAGCATTTCTTGAGAAGCGATCTCGCCACGTGAATTATTGAAGATAGGAATTTAAAAAACTCATTTCGCGGCCAAACATTTTCTTCATCCGGCTCTTCTGTTTATTCCAAAATATGATTCCATATTTTGATACTGTGGTGCTTATTCTTAACAAGATCCTGGTTTTGAAACTATATTTATATTAAAAAATTTAAAATTGAAATTATACTTTTTTATTCAATCCATCATTGTATTTCAATGCCTCACTATTTTCCCGGTAGGAACAAATATTCAGGTCCAGGATAATATCCCGAGACGATACGCATAACAAACAGTGGCTGTATATATATGATGCCAGGTTTAAAATACTCAAACATGGACAAACATTAAAAATTATAATTTATTTTGGGATTGCATAAGCTTATGAAGTTCACAAGTAATGTAATTATAATTTAGATACTGCAACCAATATGGACATATACTGTGATGAAAGTGATAGTGTCATGAAAGCCTACATCGTGAACCTATCCTTTCGTGAGAATGTAATGGTACACTAGACGAATATAATTTCCTTTCATTCCTAAATAACAAGGAAACTATTAATTTCATACCATGCATTCTCGAACGCATCATGTCGATATCGCTGCACAGAGAAATCCCACATAATGAGCAAATTCATCGCCGGTTTATCGGTGGCAATTCAGAGGCTAATGGACGTTACATAAGACAGGGTTTTCACGTATAGAAAAGCATTATTTCAAAATTCTTCGAAAATAAATTAAAAAAGTATTATTTCAAAGATTCCTTAGCATTTCTTTGTTATTAACATTTATGTAATGTATGACAGAAGTAATCCATGTCCCAAAAATACTCGAATATCGGGCGTCAGTGCACGACGTTTGTGAAGGTTATCATGCTGGTTATTTTGGAAGTGGCTTGAGTGTGTGGCAACTGCAGTGGCTGGATCGATTGTGATGGTTATCATATGGATGATTTTGGGAGTGCCTCGTTTGTGGAGGTACATATTGTGGTTATTTTTGAAATGGTTAATCAACAGCACAATTTTCAGTGCAGGACAAATTTTTCCAAAATGGAAATAAAGCTCATTATTGTAATGTATTATTATGAGTCATAATCTCATAACTGTGTGCAAATTTGCCGTCATGGATAACGAACGACGGAGCAGCAATATACTCTGTCGAGTGGATATGTCAACTGGAGGTAAGTTGACACACGTCCTGTGTCAACGAGACTATAGGATATAAGTTGACAGATATCATGCGTCAACTGGACTAAAGGATATAAGTTGACACACGTCATGCGTCAACTAGACTATAGGATATAAGTTTACAGATATCATGCGTCAACTGGACTATAGGATATAAGTTGACTGGTACCATGCGTTAACTGAACTATAGGATATAAGTTGACAGATATCATGCGTCAACTGGACTAAAGGATATAAGTTGACAGATATCATGCGTCAACTGGACTAAAGGATAAGTTGACAGATATCATGCGCCAAGTGGACTATAGGATATAAGTTGACAGATATCATGCGTCAACTGAACTATAGGATATAAGTTGACAGATATCATGCGTCAACTGGACTATAGGATATAAGTTGACAGATATCTTGCGTCAACTGGACTATAGGATATAAGTTGACAGATATCTTGCGTCAACTGGACTATAGGATATAAATTGACAGGTATCTTGCGTCAACTGGACTACAGGATGTAAGTTGACAGATATCTTGCGTCAGCTGGACTACAGGATGTAAGTTGACAGATATCTTGCGTCAGCTGGACTATAGGATATAAGTTGACAGATATCATGCGTCAACTGGACTATAGGATATAAGTTGACAGATATCTTGCGTCAACTGGACTACAGGATGTAAGTTGACAGATATCTTGCGTCAGCTGGACTATAGGATATAAGTTGACATATATTATGAGTCAAATTGACTATAGGACATAAGTTGACAGATATCATGCGTCAACTAGACTATCTAGTACATTACTTGACAAATATCATGCGTCAACTGGATTATAAGTTGACAGATATCATGCAGCAACTGGACAGTTGACTCAAGATGTGTCAACGAACACTTTTGCGTAGATCAAAACAATATCTTCTATGTCAAAGGAGAAGCTACACTTTTAGCTTATAAAAATAATAAATTCATATACCATCACCGAAGCACTAGCATTGAAGCAGCGCATGCTGTTACGTAAGCTTTTTGTAGTCTTATGTGTTCAAGCGGACGAACAAGAACCGAAATGTCTGTTTTAACATCTCAGTAAAACCTTAACAGTTAAATAGAAAACAAATAATTACGTTTCAGCATTTCTAAGACTGCATATTTATTAGTCAAAGTATTCATATCCATAAGTCGAAGGATGGCGAAGTTATAAATGCGTAAAATTTAAATGGCGAACTTATAAATTTTACAAATCATGAATTTGCTTCGCCACATTCATGACAGAATTTCGATATTCGATCCACTGTTCAACATTCGATGATTCATAACATTTTCAACATAATGTATCAATGACATAATTAACCAACGCAGCGTGTTGATACGATAACAGGTCGCGGATGCAATGCGGAGACATTATCGTGGCGATAAGAAAGCCGTTATCGCGCTATCTCCTGCATCATCAAATGGCCAGTGGGCCTCAGCCTACCGTCAAGACCTGGTGGTTTGCTAGTGGTCCTAGTCACTAGTGGCAGGAGTGCAGTGCTAGTGGTGGTTTGCTAGTGGTCCTAGGCACTAGTGGTATTAGTACGGCACTAGTGATAGTTTGCTAGTGGTCCTAGGCACTAGTGGTATTAGAACGGCACTAGTGATAGTTTGCTAGTGGTCCTAGATTCTAGTTGTATTAGTACAGCACTAGGGACGGTTTGCTAGTGAGCCTAGATTCTAAACCATAGGAGTGCAGCACTAGCAATGGTTTGCTCCTATAGTTACCAGTGGTAGGAGTGTAACACTAGCGATAGTTTGCTAGTGGTCCTAATTACTAGTGGTCGGTGTGTAGTACAGCGATGGTAGGCTAGGTGATGGTGTTCGTCATCAGTGGTAGAAGTGTGGTTTCCCTGCACGTTCGGAAACTTTGAAACCTTAAGACTAGTTTCCAATTAACTACCACGAATTTAATATTTAGAAGATTCAGCTACTACAGCAAAAAATTATTAATAATAATGATATGCATACATCAACTTAATTCAGAAAATTAAAGCTATATACTCGATAATTTCAGTCACCGTGCTTCCTTCCAGACGTGGTTTTTCGATTGAATTCTTCTAAACGGGCATTTTTAATACATAAGCAATAAATAGGAAGCCGAAGCCGATTTATCAGAAGGTGATTAACTAATCAAGAAGGTGATTAATTAATTAATCAAGAAGGTGATTAATTAATCAAGAAGGAGATTAATTAATCAAGAAGGTGATTATTTAATCAAGACGAGGACGAAGATGTCGAGCTCGGGACAACGAGCGCTGCTGTCATCTCTCATCCTGGTAAGAGCCTCTTTCCTAGCCTCTCTTTTAAGGCCTCTCTTTTTCGGATTCTCTTTTTCGGTCCCTCTTTTTCTCTATTTCTCTTTTTCGACCTCTTTTCTAGCCTCTATTTTAAGGCCTATTTTTTCGGATTTCCTTTTTCGGCTTCTCTTTTCGGATTTCTCTTTTTCGACCTCTTTTATTTTGGCCTCTCTTTTTCAGTCTCTCTTATTCGCTTTTTGTTGCATTGAGATTCGTCAAATATTATTATGACCATCAAATTTTCATATCCAATTTCATCTTTATTTTCAAGTTTTATATTTATATTCTGAACATATAATTTGTATTGTGATGATGTAATTTATAACATAGTCATATCATTTCTCTCATGATTATTAATTTGCAATAAGATAATAACCAACGTATTATGATCAGTTTGGATATGTCTGATCGTATTATGATCGTTCCTACTGCATCAATCATCAATTAATCTTTAGCAGATTAATTCAGTTTGTATTAGTAGCGTTTCATTTATAACGTATTTTTAAATATTTACGAAGAATTTATTGTTTTTCAAACTTATCTTCATCATACGAGAACGATATCAACCATGAATGTCTGGCGGTGCACCTGGGGATCAATGTTATCACGTGAAACAGACGATAATTTTAATGAATTGTGCCTTACATGATTCATACATCAATGGACACAGACGAAAATTTTAATTATAGTGATAGTTCGCCTGAGGATTAATGTTATTAAGTAATACAGTGTATCGTACATAAAGTTGTGTATCTACGAAATTGTATGTACACTGTATTAATACAACTAATACATTAATGTATAATTTAGTATCAGAAGGCAGAATAAGCTTGTTTCAACGCGGGTGGTTAATGGCCAGAGAATTCGTCAATTTAAATTTTCAGGGTCGAACAATATTCTTCAGACGACATTAGTTGATCAAAATGCAGGTTCAAGGGAGTAATATCACTTTATTAACGACGTTTCGAATGTAACAACATTCATTTTCAAGTTACAGGAAGCATTGAATACAGAAATTTTGGTGGAAATTAGTACATGATACAAGTAAATAGGATACAACAAGAAAATCTGGAACCGTGAAAATAATTCCAAAACAATCTCAAAGCTTAGAAAATCAGGTAGTTTTGAGATGATAGATGGAGTCACGAATTCTCTGGCCATTAACCACCCGTGTTGAAATAATGTATAATTGTACACTGTACGTACAATTTCGAACAATTTGACCATTTAATCATTCTCCATCTATGAATAACGAGCTTAGCATGAAGAAGCTGCATGTATCGTAAAATTGAAAAGCAAATTCCAAAGCGAAAAGCAAATTTCCATGAGCTCATCAGATATTAGATTTCCGAGAAAGGATTCTGCTGCATGTGGCCGACCTCCAAAACAACACCTGCAAAAAACGATCATCTCTGGCATTAATTTGTAACTAAAATTAATAACAAAAAGCAAAGAATATGCCGCATGTGACGAAGAAAAAACATAACAGTTGATTATTGTTAAAGTAAACAATTGTATCAGACTCTCAGCCTTATACTACGATAAATTTCTTCAGGATGACTTGACTGTGATGTATATTGCGTTCGAATATAATGATCGAATATGATCTAATGCGGGAAATAAAACTCGAAAATGATTATGTTTCAATCTTGATGATTCGCATTCATTTGCGATTGAAAAAGGAAATTCAACGACGATAACCAAAGTCAAACATTTTTCCTAAACAGTCATACCTGGCCATGCATTGCCAGGTGCCGTACACCATTTGCTGCTGCTACGTGGATTCAGCTGTAAACCATTTGCAATACCTATATCCTCTATGATATGTAATCTTTATTAAAAATTTTGTTTTGAACTGTTATCCTCCGAAGATATTGGCGGGCATTCTTGTTCTGCCGGTCGCTGCTCTCGAATGTCCAAAGATTTTGGACCAAAATCCAGATTGCCTCCAGAACGGCAAGGTCGGGACGAACCCAGAAAATTGCAATATCGTCGTCAACGTATACGAAGACTGCGAGGAGGGATCGTCGCTCTTCATTGTTGAAGGTGAATATTCAATATGTTTCCCTGTTTGGTATTCGATTTGTGTAAATTGTCCATTTACGTAAATAAAATGTAAATTCGATTTATGTAAATTGTGTGCGTGTCCTGCAATAACTGTGCGTGTGCTGCGATAAATGTGCGTGTGCTGCGGTAAATGTGCGGGTGCTGCGATAAATGTGTGTGTGCTGCGATCAACGGTGCGTGAACTGCGATAAATGTTCGTGTGCTGCGATAAATGTGCGTGTGCTGCGATAAATGTGCGTGTGCTGCGACTAATGTGCGTGTTCTGCGATAACTGTACGTGAGCTGCGATAGATGTGCGTGTGTTACGCTCAATGTGCGTGTGCTGCAATCACAAGTGCGTCTATAATGCGATCAATGATCATGCATGTGCCGCGGTAGAGTACACTTGTACCGCGATTCATTATACGTGAGCGATCTTGATAACAACCTTGTGTCTTGAAACCTTAACTGTGTATTTTTTCCTCAGGTTCTTCAGTTTCATTCGGCACTTCTAACTGCAAAGGAGCTGTCGACATTGACGACAATAATGCGGTTGTACTGAACAATGCACTTGATGCTGAACTTGGGAGCATACCTCCGTCTTGTTTACAAAAAATAATATATACAATCAATGGCACAGAATTCTCTGCCCTCTTACAAACCGTCGATGTTGACGAATTTCCGCCTATGCTGACCAACCAGGCGCCCGCGCTCACTATCTACACGGACGAAAATGTAAGTGATTAATATTTTAATTACCGAGGTTGTGTAATCTTAATCAAATATATCACACGTACTCAATCAAACGTGATAGGGCAATAAAGTTTCGCTGGATTGCTATTGACGACTGTTTTTACAGTTATTTGAAATGAGAATTGATGTCAAAAATAAAAATTCACCCAAAATTAAACAACTAACAAATACCAATTGAATTTATGTTATTATCGTTGGAAACGCAACGAGGGCCAATTCCATCGTCAGTTTAGAAACCACGAGACAAATGAACTAACTCGGAAGTGATTATAATCCAGATTTACTAATAATTGACAAAGTAACGCATAACTTATTCATTATCAGTTTCAAGTGGAAATAAACTGTATGGTTGTTCAGACACATGGTGTTTTATGCTCGCTTTTAAACAACAGGACGGCTCACCGTTCAATGTAAAGTTGCACTGTTGAATGAGGTAGGTGTGCAAGAAGGTTTTCTGGATGATAACTTTCTCCTTAGTGTTCAACCAATGTTATGTAAATGATGTAAGACGTCATTCAGACGTACGTTGATGCACACGATTCACAACTGTTCTCATAAACCAGGTTGGAAAACAACTTCAGATTGGAAAGATTGCATATCCAAATACCTGATGTTGGAATCAATTTGAAGTCCAGTTGTTAGGATGCAATTCAGACTTCCATACACGGTACGCGACAATTGAGATTCTTTCGGTAAAACCAGTACGAAAGTGAAAGGATTTTATTTTTTAATTGATGTTCTATAATTTTCTCACGTTCTATCCTCCAGAACCAGCCGGATTATTTCTTACTCGCCATCAACGTTAGCGACCCAGACTACGGGGAGACATCAACCTTGAGTGGAGTTCTTGTGAGTTGTTCATCTCGTTATTGGTGTATCTTAACACTCGACGTTATTTTAATTAATTTAAATGCGCAAGAAATACGCTGAATACAACCACAGAGACGCGAGAAACTTTGTTCGGTGAATGTTAATTATGCATTCAAGACAAGAAGGGCAAATCAAACTGGAGCGGTTAATCGCATGATGCTGTTGATGCAATGTCTCCTGGAGGCAGACGCCAAATAACCTTAAAAGAATAATACTAATTTGAAATTATGCAATTTAGATTTTTCAAAACTTAATAATGTAGGAAAGTTATATTCAAGCCAAATTCGAGCACTATCTCAAGTTATGTATTGATACCAACACCTTGGTGATGCAGCGTCAAATGTCATGCTGGCATGTTATGCCCTTAAAACAACCACCAGATGCTGTATACTTCATAATCTGTAACAGAGTTTTCTATTGTACTGATTAATATATCCACTGCTTAGCTAGTGCCATATATCCATGGTTGCCTCAAATAACTGTTTTTTACTTTCGTAGCTCGATACTTTTGACGACCGATTTGCCTTACGCCGACATGACGGATGCGAGGCAAGCTCCTGTGAGGTGGCCACATTCGACCTCGTGGCGGCCAAGTCCCTCGACTACGAAGACGGCGTCTTCTATGAAATTGAAGCCACTTTTACGGTGAGAACTTAATGCTTTGCAGCCAAAAAGTCAGCTTGCCTACAGTTATGTAACACAACGGTAAGTCTTAATCCTAGCAAAGATGTCGACCAATTTTTCTGAAATTTTTATAAATTAAATAAAAATGCTTATGATATACAGAGTTATCATATTCTAATTAAGAAAAGTTTGTAATCTCCAAAGCTTCCAGATTGCATGAAAATAAAACGCATAATTTGTATATAAATGAATAAAAGTATGGATAATGGTTTTAGAAAACAGCAAAATCACCTTTTAAGATTAATTCTCTAACGTCTCCAACTGAGATGTTGTAAACATTGTGAAACTATATTCAATAAATTGGTCTGTCCCTTACACAATTTTGAGATGGTGGCGCGACCCTGCTTTAGGTGCCGCGCTGGACTCAGGGAGCACGTAAATCAGCTGCTCTGTGTCCGCTTCGGCTCAGGGTTTGAATGACAGCCTCTGAGCAAATTGATAGCTCGGAATGACTCGACTCTGCCAGCCCTTGCCATACTCTTAGGCGACTATAAAGTCGGAAAGGAGATTCTGACCAGAAACTGATTTCGATCGGGTGGCCAAGAAGGCCCAGAATAACTTTGTGCCGAGTGTGGTGACTATTCGGCCGAAGCCTATATAGGTGGTTCCCGAATATTAATTGACAGGGGTAAAGCTATAATACCTTAACATAATTCGGGTACCGCCTATAGGCTTCTGCCCAAGAGGCGCTACACTCGACTTGAATTAACATATTCTGTCTTTGCTCGGCCACCCAATCTGAATCAGTTTCTGGTCGGAATCTCCTGTCCGGCTGGCTATACATATAGTAGCTTGAGAGTATGAGAAGGGTTGCCGAGCATAGGCACACCCCAAGCTAGCAAGCTGCCAGAGGCTGCACTCAAAACCCGGAGCCAAAGCAGACATATAGAATGGCTGGTTTACGTTTTCCACGAGCCCTAGGTGGCACCTAATCCAGAGTCTAGCCCACCTCTAAATTTGTTAGGGCAGAATGTGGATTTTTTTTTTGTATTTACAAAGAAAGCTTGAATATAAATTACTATACAAATTTGATCCGGAAGTAAAAAAAATTCTGATCACAGTTATCATATCAGAATTTTCTGAAATTTTTCATTATTTTTTATCAGAGATGTGGACTTACGTATAGTAACTTTAAAGTTTGCGGAGGAACGAAATGCGTCGTGAATATGTTAATTCTAAAGTACGAGTACAATGCACATATTAACTTTTGCGGAAAAATTGGAAGCTACGATACGAAAAAATGGAAGCTAGTCTACAAATTTTCCCTATGTCAAAATCACATTTTTGCTTATTTTAACAGTCGGCTTAAATCGCAAGTTCACAAGGAATTTAAAAGCAAAGAAAACGCCATGCAAATTCACCATATCGATATTGAAAGCGCTTCGGAGTCCAGCTCCATCATCAGTTCGACAATCTAAAAAATGAATACAATCATTTATAATTCAAAAATTATATTCATGCTTTTTGAAGTTAGTAAAGGTATAACCTATTCCAGTCTTCTGACTCCCGAGGAAGCCACAACACGACGCAGATTACGGTGCTGCTGTTCATCAACGACTTGCCAGACTCCCCGCCCTTCTGGCTCAAGATCGTGCCGACCGTCTCTGTGCAGGAGTCAGACGAAGTGGTGAGTGAGATTAGTGTATTATATTAGTGTGGTGAGTCAGATACACGGCTGAACGTCTTGGATGTAGAGTCAGATCAAGTATCAAAGCGGATCCACAGCTGACCGCCTTGGATGTAGAGTTAGACTATACGTATCGAAACAAATCCAAGGCTGACCGCCTTGGATCTAGAGTCAGACTATGTATCAAAATGGATCCACGGCTGACCACCTTGGATCTAGAGTCAGACTATGTATCAAAATGGATCCAAGGCTGACCACCTTGGATCTAGAGTCAGACTATGTATCGAAATGGATCCAAGGCTGACCGCTTCGTCAGACCAAGTATCAAAACGAATCCTCGCCAGACCGTCTTGAAGGGAGAGAGAAACAAAGCTGAAGAGCAGATACACAGTTGAACTATTGTACAGGTGGAATCAGACCAAGTTAAGGAGTATCCTAGTTCAAACCTTATATCATTATATGCTCTAGTCCCACCCTTTTGCTCTAGTTCCACCCTTATGCCCTACTTCTACCCTTATACCTTAGTTACACTCTCTTAGCCTAGTTCCACCTTTACGCCCTAGTTCCAGTCCCAAGTCACAGCCACCTCTTGTTCTCCCAGTTCCACGTTCATTCTTCAGTATCCCATTCATTCCATAGCCCTCCTCTCATCCCCAGCCCTCTTCCCACGACCTATCTAACCTCTCAAGCCCTTTCGTCCCCTATCGTGCCTCACGTCACCTATCTTGCTTACGTCCCTTCTCATGCTCCACGTCCCATATCATGCCCCCGTTCCTTATCATGCTTACGTTCCTTGTTCCTTATCATAACCCACGTCCAATATCATGCCCCACGTCACCTATCATGCCCCACTGAGCTCGTTGCGCAAAGAGCTGATCGAAGAGAGAGCTCAACGGAAAAATATAGAAAACTTGGAAAAGATGGAACGGAAGAATCACAACGTGGACATAGCCGAAATCGCTAGCGAAAGCTCCCGCGAATTACTAGACAGAGAACGAAGGAAGTGCAACCTTGTTTGGTTCAGCATTCCCGAAAGCACCGCATCTGAGACGAACAAACGTGTGATGGCCGACAATAAGTATGTGGCAGACTGTTGTAGTAAAGCACTAAGCACGCCGGTTGATATTGCATTGTGTAAGAGGCTGCGCTCCAAGAATGCTGCTACTAACGCATGCAGACCTCTATTGGTGACTGTGAAGGATCCGGCCCAGGTTTGGAGCGTGCTGAAAGCAGCGAAAAAATTAGGAGAAACTGTTGAATTCAAGTCTGTTTTTGTGAAAAAGGATTCCACCCCTTTAGAGAGGGCGGAATACCGCAAGAAATGGCAGGAGCGAAACAGACGCAGAAACACGGAAAATCATGTCAACACCATTCAAGATCTCACGAGGACTCCGACCGCTCGCCGACAGTCACGGGAGATGGAAGACAATTAAATAGTGATAATCATGTATATAAATCCAGCTCTGTAAATAAGGTAAAAAGTTTATTCATACATCAAGATGGAAGTGCACAAAAAGTTTTGAAATGTTTCTACACGAACTCTGATTCCGTTTTGAACAAAATAAATGAACTGTTAACTGTGATCGAAAACGAGTGTATAGACATTATTTGTATTACAGAGACACTCCCCAAAAATCACGGGGAGAAAATTTTACCAGTTGAATTTCAGTTGCCAGGTTTTGATTGCTTTCATAATTTAAACGAAGAGCAGTGTAGTAGAGGTGTAGGTCTGTGGGTTAATCAGTCTTAAAATGCCTCGTACCCTACGGAACATCTGATATCTAGAAGCGATTTTAAATCTACCGTCCGTAAGGCCAGTCTAGTCAAGAAAAGTACAAGAATCGGCGACAGGCCTATCCAGGCCTATTTATTTAATGCCGAAGATACTATACTATACTATACTATGTCACCTATCATGCCCCAGCTCCCCTCTCACGCCAGTTGCCTTCTTTTCATCCCTCAGGGCAAGGAAGTGTTCAGCGTGTTGGCTAGAGATCGAGACATCGGCATCGACAACGACATCAACTATGATATCACCAATGGTAAGTCGGCATAGCGACAACATTCATTCATACCATTATTATGATGAATTTTCTTGGAGTAGCCACCAGTATCGAATTTATGAAGCGTACTGAGGTTTATGGGTGACTATAGTAATAGTATAGTAATATCGTGTTTCCCATTATCATTGATTATTAAATGTTTTTCATTTGTTCAGTATGAGAGTATTATTTTCTCGGCAATTAACTTCGCTCGAAACTTCGAAATAATGCTAATGTATCCAAGATAAGCGTCTTTGAGTCTAGTTCAATTGAATTGTTAAATGACTGCTTCTGGGTTTGTTTTAACGATTCAGCATCGCATTGATATTATCGATTCTGTGTTGAGATTAATTCATCATGCAGGCATACAGCCTACAATTGTTCTCTTACACTATTTCTACTCCAGTTCACGTTTAATTCACGATGCTCCGGTATTTCCTAATTCGCCTTCTTGCCGAACTTAATTTGGAACTTATTTTATTTACGAATTAAACATGAAATTTGCTCTCTTAACGACTTAAGCTTGAAAGCAAAATCGTTTCGGTCCGAGCATCACAAAACTGAAGTAAATGAAAAATCCAAGAAGGCCAAATGAGTCAAAATCAAATAAAATTCAATAATATGAAGCCATTTGTGGCTGAAACCGTGACTCAACTCTCTTAAAAAAACGCTTAATTTACAACATAATTTAATTCAAAGTTACATAACATTAAACGTTAATTTCTTCTGACATCATTATGAATGCCAATTAATATGATGCATTCCAGGTTTACTCTGTTTAGTAGAGCTATACCGTCAATTTCACAATACATTTTCTGTAAACTTTCTCCCATAGGAATATAACGTCTAATTCATTATACACTTTCTGTTCACTTTTTTTATAATTTCCGTCTATTTTTCTCTGGACTAAGGCAACGATGGAGGCTACTTCGCGATAGATAAAGCGAAGGGCGTCGTGACGACAGCCAAAGCAATAGACAGGGAGGTTCTGAATGCGACGTTCTTCAACCTGGAGGTGATGGCGTACGAAGTCCTGGCAAACGGCAGCATGGCTCCAGACCCCAACAACGTGACTCAGGTACGAGGAGCACGAGAGACCATGAGCTCCGGTACGTGAGACGTGCGTTGTAATTGTGAGACTTAATACGTTTTACGTACGTTTTTATACGTGTTGAACGTGACTTGTCTGTTGTAATTGTGAGACCTATACGTTTTGAACGCGACAAGTAGGACGTGATTGTAAGACCTATACGTGTTGAACGCGACAAGTAGGACGTGATTGTAAGACCTATACGTGGTGAACGCGACAAGTAGGACGTGATTGTAAGACCTATACGTGTTGAACGCGACAAGTAGGACGTGATTGTGAGGCCTATACGTGTTGAATGCGACAAGTAGGACGTGATTGTGAGGCCTACGTGATGAATGCAACACGTATGTCGTTACTAAGACCTACGTACGTGATGCACTTAAGACATTCATCGCGCTTTTCATCGGACACACGCGATAAATGTGGATGCGATGAGAGAGTGGTTCCCAAATTTTTTTCAGGCTGGCGCCCCCTTTGGCTCCCTGGTGAATCTCTAGCGCCTCTCCCCCCCCCCGACAGAAACATAAAAACAAACGCCTCTTTCTTGATATTTAGTACGCTGCAATTTTAAAAGAGAAAGGGAGAAAAGTTAAACACAAATGTGTATTTCACAAATAGAACCCAATTTAGTAAGCCAATATATTTTTTTTACAGTTTTAACTGTTCCGGCACTAGAAATTCAAGACGGCTCGGACAAATTTACGGCCTGACTCGTGGCCGGTCTCGCAGCCGGCCTCACGGCCAATCTTTACATTTAGTGACCAAGGAATATTTCCCAAACTAATGAACGCAGCTCGATAAAACTTGGAACACGTATTCATTAATTAGGACCTAACAATGATGTTTAGCTCGCGAAATTTTTTTTCAATTTCACCTTCATTCGGGAGTTATATGACGATACGGGCCGAAATTCGCAGTGATCAAAGAATTTTTTCCAAACTACGGAACAGATTCGAACGACATTTTGAATATAAATTCCTTACTAACAAACAGTGATTTTTAGCATGTGAAAATTGATTCGAGTCAGAGTCATGTTCTGCATGTGTTGTGTACAAATCGTCAAACAATCGTACGAACTTCTGACTTCGACTTCGAGGACTGCCGCTCCCCTACTGCCCATTTCTTCCTCACCGCCCCCCCCCCCTCCCAGATCTTTCCGCCGTCCCCAGGGGGGCGATATCGCCCACTTTGGGAACCACAGTGTCAAACGCTTTAATTGCACATGGTGTAGATGTGATGTACGCGAGATGTGTAGTTCATAAATGACATGCATTTAATTGTGCCGTGAGATGTATTAATTGTGCGTAAAAATTGCATGATGTCGGTGGACGGACATGAAATAAATACCACATTAATAGAATCCAAAAATATAAATTATTCTTTCACAGTTGAATAATTTCGTTAAAAAAACAACGTTTACGCTTAATAAAGTACAATTAATAACCACGTGAACAAGTCTACCCTGACGTGCACGTAGGTAACCAACGTGCAAGTGACAGACGTGAACGACTGCGTGCCGGAGTTCGGGGCCGCCGCCATGAACGTGACGATGTCGGAGCTGACAGCGCTGGCGGGCGGCGGGTCGTTCGTCATCGGCTACATCACCGTGGAAGATCTCGACGAGGTGCGGTAATGCTATATCTACGCATCATATATCGCTTTCTGCGTATATAATAATAAGTTATGTGGTTACGTATGCATGTAATATTAGGTTATATTGCTATCTACGCATCTTATATTGCTTTATGCGTACATAATAATAAGTTATATGGTTACGTATGCATGTAATATTAGGTTATATTGCTATATTATATGTTCTATTGCTTCCTGCGTGTATAATAATAAGTTATGTGGTTACGTACGCAGTAATACTAGGTTATATTGCTATATCTGCATCTTATATTGCTTTCTGCACATGTAATAATAAGTTAAATGGTTACGTGCGTAGGTAATAGTAGGTTATATTGCTATATAAGATGATATATTGCTTTCTGCGTATAGAATAATAAGTTATATAGTTACGTACGTAGGTAATATTAGGTCATATTGCTATATACGCACGAAATACTGCGTTATATTGATATATATCACGTTATATTGCTATCTACTGAGCTATATCTACTTAGCTGTTGCTCGTTGTGTGAATGTTCAGTGCTGATGCTGATAAAAGGAGTGCATGTAAAAAACATACATAGCTATCACTATGTGTTATACACAATGCATGCTGTATAAATGTCTCACCGTACAATAATTCTAATCATAGTAATTACAAATAATTCTATTATAATATCTGTACGGTGTAGGGTCAAGCTGGGCAGTACGCGCTCACCAGTTCGCAGCCCAGGGATGTTAACTTGAGTTTCACAATTGCTTATCACTACAAACATCTGTAGAAAAGAAATTATCATAGTCATTACAAATAATTCGATTATTTCTGTACATTATAGGACCAAGCAGGGGAGTACGCGCTCACCAGTTCGCAGCCCCAACACCTGGCGTTCAGTCCGCGCTCCGGTTCCGGTGAAACTAACTTCACGGTCACGGCTCTCTATGTTCCTGATGACAACATTTACGACTATGAGTCAAGGCCAGACAATGATTACGACATCATTATTGAGGTAACCAGTATTGAAGAAGAAGAAATTGCGATGTATGTTTCAACTTTGTAGCAAGTAATACGTAAGAAACCAGCAATTGCGATGTGTGCTTCAATTTTGTTGCACGTAATACGTAAGAAATAATGACTCGATACCACTAGAAATTTTTTTAACCACTGCATATGAGTTTAATACCGTCGTGAGTTGTAAAGATGTTAAGTGATAGAAATATGGTAGAAACGAAATGGTGATTAAATAATTTGATTGGATACCGCTAAAATTACAGAGATTTCTTCGAGGATGTTCATTGGCTGGAAATTTACCGTTAAAAATTAAAGGAATTGGCGAATAAATAGGATTCGAAGAGGACATTCAGGAAAATTGCCAACGATTTTAGCACGTGCACCTATTTTAATTTTTAACCTAAAGAATAGTATAAACAAACTGGAAACATACATTTTCTACCCTCAGATCAACTCGACTGTGTCTTCAGACCCCTCGCACGTCAGCTCCACTCTAATCATCACACTCATTTTCTTCCCTCAGATCAACGCTACTGTGGCTTCAGACCTCTCACACGTCAGCTCCCCCACTCTAATCATCACACTCATTTTCTTCCCTCAGATCAACGCTACGGAGGTAGCAGACCCCTCACACGTCAGCTCCACCACTCTAATCATCACACTCATTTTCTACCCTCAGATCAACTCTAATGTTGCTTCAGACCCCTCACACGTCAGCTCCCCCACTCTAATCATCACACTCATTTTCTTCCCTCAGATCAACGCTACGGAGGTAGCAGACCCCTCACACGTCAGCTCCATCACTCTAATCATCACACTCGAAGACGTCAACGACAATTATCCTGTCTTCAAATATTTACAATACCCCGCTTCGATTTACGAAAACTTAGCAAATGAATTACCAGTGATCAACGTTTTAGCGACGGACAACGACAAGTCGGATGAGTATGGCACTCTTAGTTTAAGGTAAGTTTCTATAATGTCATCATTAACATTCAAATTTTGCTAGCTACGGTAGAAATATTTTTGATACTCAGTAACTTGCAAACCCGAGTGCAGAGATTTAGCTTAATTTTCAATAAATTTGTATCAATGAAAGAAATTAGGTATCGTAATTCATCATATTAAACGATTTACACTAAACGAAGTGTACACATCATAACTTTTTCAATGCTATTTGTATGATACAGATTAAACGAGAAGGTTTTAGTTGAAAATGTTTTAAAGGGTAGTTATAAGTTGCTCTAGAACAGCATTGAGTTAACAACAAAGGTTCACTTAAAAGTTTGAATGGTCTCATAACCCCCTATAGGGATCATAAACTTAGTACCGAGTGAATGTAGCTTCAACGTGCGCCAATGCGCACTAGAGTAATTATGAAATAACTCCTTAATTTGATAATTTCTGTAATGAATCGATTTCTTAAATTGGGGAAGATTACCATGATGCTTTGGATTAATTATAATGACGAACAGCAAAAAAAAACGTATTCATTTGTTTAAGTTACATGTAGCGGCAAGTGCACGTTTTAAAGTGCTTTGATCTGATTACTAATGATAAAGCGCTGATAAATGATCTATTGATGTATTAACGCAATCAATTTGCAGATACTTCATGTTCAACTGTGACTCGTATTTTACCATCAATGACGTGACTGGAACAATAACCGTGACTGGGCAGCAGAATTTGGACTATGAGCAGCGCGACACAATTGAGTGCAATTTAGAAGCCCGAGATCTGGAGGGAGGAACTGGATACCTGAAAGGAACGTCGACGTTGGTCGTGGAATTGGTAGATGTGGACGACACTCCTCCCGACATAGCTGTCATGGTCAGGACCCAGAGGCTTAACTCGTTTTGTTCAAATGAATTCAAATATCAGTTTCAGTAGATGAATTTCAAAACTTTTGACCTAGAATGTGAACCCGGAAATTAGGTACGTACGAATCTCCATATTTTCCCCGTTAGATATGAGCCCAGACCTTGGTCGCTCTAGTTGATCAAGTACAACATTGCATGGTAGATGAGTTTAATCAGCTATCAAGTCAATTACTGGCGTCACATTAATTAAAAACTCTGCCCCTGTATTTGCGACCACTTGTGAAATTGATATCAATTTAAGCTGCAGTCCAGGGAATCGTTGGAGATATCTTGAAGTTTTCGTTAAGATTCAAGACGACCACGAGGGTAACGTTTCATCATTTTATTGACCCAGGAGTGGATTCATTTGATCTCAATTCCTTTCCTCATATTTAAACTAACGATTATTATTCAAGTATCGTAATGCATTCTGAAGCTCTACGGGGATAAAAAACTTTTGAAACAATTTATACCTATAACCCAATACAAGTTGAAGTAATAATGCTCTACAGATACCACCTGATTGCAGTGAGTTTCTCAATACTGAGTAATTAAATCTGCTTTTATAAAAAAATATAGTCAACCCGTCCCTTTCACAATCTTTGAGCGGGAAAATGAAGCAGACTTTCAGCAATTTTCCAATTGAGAGAATTTCCGGGAACATGCTTCTAGTCTCATATAAAGGCTTTATTGAGCACGATTTTTACCTGCGATGTTGTAGTCAAAGTCGCAGGTACATTCACGTACATTTGTGAATTACTTTACGCTGTTAATCGTAGTGGTCACGCTTCAAATATTGCATTTAACAGGGTTAATTTCTTTTTCAGTCAACCTCGTATGAAGTGTTGGAGAACGAGACCGTAGGTAGCGTACTGGTGTCGGTCGCGGCTACAGACAAGGACACCAACGCCTCGGTTAACTTCTACATCATTTATGAGGACAATAACAGGCCAGGTGTTGAAGAGTGAGTTGCTTCATCCGTTCATTTGAGCGTTGAGAATTAAGGTTTGCTTTACTTGCGAGTTAACCGTGCATTTCTCGAGAATAATTATAATGTAAAGTAATATTTGCTGTACTAATAATTTAATTGACGTGTTTATATCAACTTGGTTAATATTTAATATATAAAATATCAAGCTTACATTGTACCAAATAAGAGTTCAGAGATAAAAATGAATATCGCTAAATACTAGTAGGTTGTCCTCATTGTTGACCGGAATTAAGAGTATGGCTGATGTATGGTAATTATGGTTAAAGAAAAATAATTGTCTTTTCTGCAGCCAAGTTAATTTTTAAACTAATTATATTGAGTTGGAGGAACCCGTGTTTACATCTCCATTATACAGAGATGCACCACTTTCTTATATGGAAGAACAGCTGGTTTCGTTCGTTAAATCGAATTCGATATTTCCGACAGTTGGTTTATCATCGAAGACCGACCATGTGAGCCAGAAGAAGGCGACTTCTGCGCTGATGTTAAAACAAATGCTGAGCTGGACCGGGAGACGCAAGACAAGGTGGCTATCAAGATCATTGCTGTTGACAACAACACTGACATGAACGCTGCAACTGATTCAGGTGGGAATTATTTTTTCGGTTAGGAACTTAGATTTATTATGAACGCAAAAAATAAATGTATATTGTATTCATTAATCTGAGAGAATGAACGCTAAAACTTAGAGTGTGAGCTAACTGTATAAATTAAATTGTTTTTACGGGCTCAACGTAGCACGCAGTAAAAAACTTTGCGTAGTAATTCAACATCATAGGGCATTACTGTGAAATTAATGAGGTCATTCAACGTAGTAGGCTTAAAGTTTCTACCTTTCTGTGGTTGAATCAAAGTAATAATTCAACCTAGATATCTCGACGTGATAATATCTCAATCTCACTTTAGTGAGAAGGTATTATTAATTCTTGATATTAGCTCAACCTTTATTAATAAGCGTTGAGATTCGTAAACATGAAAATTCATCAGAGCTTAAAATACATGAAAAAATATAACTCAGTACTCACTGCAGTGAGTGACAGAGAGCGCATTTTCTCGTCGACGAAAACTTGAAGTCATGGACGGACAGACAGACGGACGGACCGACGGACATGGCGAGCACAATAGTGCATTTTTTTCATAAATGAGAAAATGCGCGAAAAACATGAAAATTCATAAAAGCTTAAAATACATGAAAATCTCTTGTCTCTGACGAACTCCTTGATTGCTGCAGTTGACGTGACCATAACATTGCTGGACGTTAACGACAAGACGCCCGTCTTCTGCGACACCTGTGCCCAGGACGACTCTGTCTACGAGAACTCGCCGAGCGGATCTTTGATAGCTAGGATCTACGCCACCGACGAGGATCTTGACGATATTCTGATCTACGATTGTAGGTAATATGATTTATTGTACTATACATTGGATGGCAGGTATGCTGATCTATTCTAATACGTACGATGGCTGGTATGCTGAAATTTCCTACTACTTGACTACTGTATGCACGATGGCACGTATGCGGGCCATTCGTACTACACGTACGATGGCAGATTGTCATGCCTACTTCAATGAGTATGACCAGCGCTCCCCCACTAGTCTATTACTCACACACGCCGGTGAGTGCACTCATCACACTCAGGGTGAGTTGAACATAAGTTGAACATAATCTACCAGCCGATCTACAGAAACTTTAATCCTAAAGTACATGATAACAAGCGCGGCCTTTGAGAGTGAAATGGTTTAGTCTTTGCACCAGTACTGGACATCGGGAACAGTTCGCATCACTTTAATCCGTCGTGTATGTGGAAATATTTTTGTTTAACAGTTTGCAAAAAATTTCAATTCCTCTCGAGTTAACTTTACTTGAAATTTTTGTATCTAAAGTAAGGTTCAATTAAGTGTGAATGTCTCTACCGTTTGGTTAAAAATATTCTTCTAGGCTTCAAAATATTCAATTGGTTCATTTCATGTGAAATTACTATTTTTTGTTGTGACGTTGTTTTGCAATAATTATGTAGGAACAAAATTATTCTCGAGCAGCAATTTAAACGTCAATCGTTGATTTTAAGACAATTTTTCATCGCCTGAGAAGGAATACAAAGCTATTAAAGTCAAAATTTACCAAAAAAGTGTTCCAAATGCACCCCGGTGAAATTAATCAATTTTAAATGGAGGTTGGTTAATTGAACTGTGAAGCGGCTGTGAGTTACGACTTTATTTTTATAATTTATTTTAATTAAACTCGGGCAGTTCTTGCGACACCGTTGTACTGGATAATTCGACGGGCGCCTTAACTGTTGGAGTAAACTCCATTGATCGGGAGACCCAAGCCTACATCAACGTAACCATCACCGTCACCGATGCTGCCGGCCACTCCGCAGTGATGGAGGCAAGAGCGAGGCTGCAAGTGCCGCCATCTTAAGTTATTATTACTGCTTTAAAACGAACCTTTGTTCACGATATTAATATATTACATAAAAGCATTATTGTCATTATTATCATTATATATTATTATTATTGTACAGCTATTATTATTATATAATAATAATTAATTATGTATATAAAATATAAGGCGTCTGTTTTGTTGGAGGTGTAACGGTGATTTTCCGTTATGGCGTAAGATATTTTGTGATATCGTAAAACACGGAATGCATACGATCATTGATTGAACGCGGATTTATATATATATATTTATTGACTGAAGTTTTCCATTTCTAAGTAGCAGGATATTTCTAGAATTTGTGAAGTGCGAAACACATACATTGACTCAATTGTTTTCTTCCAAGAAAAGACTCTTTATCGGTGACTCCAAAAATAGATTTTTATCTTGGAGTAAACATGATATGATTATTAATTTTTAATAGTAAAATAAATTCTTTCAGGTCTCCATAACCGTTAAAGATCGGAATGATGAATCTCCGGTTCTGGACGAAGCTTTATGCGGTAAAACTTACGACAACGTCTTCGAAAACGCCGCCAACGGAACGCACGTCGTAACGATGACGGCGACTGACAAAGATGAAGGTAATTATTACAATTTTTGCCGACCTTAAGTTGGCAGTTTTTGCCGACCCTTTAAAACTACGACCTTAAGTTTTGGTATGAAATGGATTGCTTAAATCAAATTAAAGTGACTTAAATTATTGAATAATTCTAAGATAATCTACTTGGTTGAAGGCGCCATATAAGTGCGAAACATTTTATGGTAGTTATTAAAAATGATAAAGTGATAACAGTTTATTTGAAAATGACAGAAAACTTCCCCGTTCGTATATATTAGTCAATTATTTCATTCATATCCATACTCATGCCTCATTAAATAACAGTTTTCTTACTCCTTATTTAATCAGTATTTTTCCCACGGTATTCTATTTCCCGGTATAAGTACACAAAAATATTTTGTTATCTATATATTTTATATAAAATTCCCCATTTATCTTGCATCAATAATAATCTCTATTAGTCATATCAGTTTACAAAGCGAAAACATAGCAGTCCTGCCACCTATACTACGTATCGTATTTCAAATTTCGCCAGCCAATGTTCCAGTTATACCACAGTCCAAGTTCCATATTTCCTTCGCGCGTGGCAGTCCCGCCACCTAAAATTATGTTCGCGCGTGGGAGTCCCGCTACACAAAATTATGTTCGCGCGTGGCAGTCCCACCACCCAAAATTATGTTCGCGCGTGGCAGTCCCGCTACCCAAAATTATGTTCGCGCGTGACAGTCCCGCTACACAAAATTATGTTCGCGCGTGGCAGTCCCGCTACCCAAAATTATGTTCGCGCGTGGCAGTCCCGCTCGCCCAAAATTATGTTCGCGCGTGGCAGTCCCGCCACCCAAAATTATGTTCGAGCGTGGCAGTCCCGCCACCCAAAATTATGTTCGCGCGTGGCAGTCCCGCCGCCCAAAATTATGTTCGCGCGTGGCAGTCCCGCCACCCAAAATTATGTTCGAGCGTGGCAGTCCCGTCACCCAAAATTATGTTCGGCGTGGCAGTCCCGCCACCCAAAATTATGTTGACGTTGACGCTCTTTTTCTACCCAAGGCGCGCATGCAAAAATCAGTTACATCCTGACGAAGATAGCGGGCGGCACAGGCCCTTTGAGTCCCTTCGCCATCGACGCCGATACAGGTGAGAGCATGGCTGAGCCTATACTGTAATATTATTCGGACTAATAATATTAGTTGAAGAAATAATATTAATTGAAATAACAATATTAGTTGAACTAATAATATTAGATGAACTAATGATATCAGTTGAAGTAATAATATTAGTTGAAGTAAAGTATTAGTGTAACTAATGATATCAGTTGAGGTAATAATATTAGTTGAGCTAATAATATTAGTTAAACTAATAATATAAGTTGAACTTATAATATTAGTTCAACTTTCGAATTTCAGTTGTGTTAACTGATTGTATTTGAATTATAGAATCTTCTAATTAACGATATGACTGCACTCCAAAATGTTTTCTGTAAATAAAAACTCTATTTAAAATATAATGAATTTCTTTGGCGTTTCATCTACTTTTAAAATCTTAGATAATAGAAGTCGACTGTTGCATCGTTAAATTTAACGATGCATCACTTATATGTCACTTCAGTCATATAATAATGATATATCATTTAATAATGTTGGAAATGAAGGTTAAATAAAATGAGTTTAAAAATTACTTTTTAAAGACAACACCTAAAGAATCCAGTGTCTCTGATGTTACACATGTACAATGGGTTACTAATTTTGGTAGCAAATATTATCAAATATTAAAAAAGTAATTTTTAAATTTTATTTTTGAAAATTGAATTTTTTAAAATTTTCCAAAACTATTTATTGTGTCGCTTGAATCACGCATTGTCTCCAACACGCAAGTGTGCAAAATTTCAGATCGATTGGACAGGTAGGAGTATGTTAAATATTGATTATAAGATATGTATCAGAAACAATTATTATTTCATTGTTTTAATATTAAAAATTAAATTTTTAAAATTTCCAAAATTATTTATTCTGCCAATCGATTCACGCATTGTCTCCAACTTCACGCAAGTGTGCAAAATTTCAGATCGATTGGAGAGGTAGAAGTGTGCTAAATATCGACTATAAGATTTGTAGCAGACAGACAAACAAACAAACACACAACAAGAAGTGAAGTTAAAGAGGAGTGTTGTAAAAAACAAATTCTTTTTGTTCCAGGTGAAATAGTTGTGAAAGTGGGTAACGGAATTACTCTAGACAGAGAAGAGACCGCTACATGGGTGCTGCAAGTAAAAGCCATCGACAGCTGTGAATTTAACGAGCCCAGCTGTACAGGTGGGATATAAGGGGACGCGCGCTGCATGTATGCCAAACTTCAAATAACTTGTAGAACTTTGAATTGTGTGCACTCACAGCTTAAAACTTGATGAGATGAGATATGTTTGGTTCGAATGGTATTTTAAATTTTTTTGATAGTAATTGTTTTTAAATTTGTGTTTTCTATACAACGAATCGCTAGACTGTGTGAAGTAATGTCGGAAAGATTTGTGTCTAATAATTCAATTCATGCACTAACTTATATACCAATAGTAATTGGAAGTGGATAAACTTAAAAATTAGATGTTGTAATCGTATAGCTTTATTAGATCGATGTTAATTCTACCTTAAGCATTAATGTCGGGATTTCTATTCCCAAGTTACGGAAGAAACATCCGCTGTTCAAATTTTCTGGCATGAATCTATTCGTTGCATGGCTATTCATTTAGTTCGTTGTGGTACGAAGTTGTGCACCAGTGGTGAAAATTGCTTCTTTAAGTTGAAATGTTGTTTAACACTGCAGAAAGGACCAACGCTTGCAACATAACAATCAGCGTCCAAGACGAGAACGACGAGACGCCTTACCTACCCGCCCCTCTCACCTTAACGGCAAACGAGGCTCTAACAGCGGTGAGGTTTAGAAGCAATTTAAGCTCATTCGCGCCGTATTACATTTTCACAGCAATTTTTTCAAAAAAATATTTATTTATACATATTTTTTCCCTTTCCTACCTCGAGAGCTTAAAATCAGTCAAAGTATCAGCAAAAAAATAGCAACATCGTGTTACTTCCACAATGTAAATTGAATGTTTGGTCCATGTTTTCTTTGAGTCTTTCAATTTTTTATCACTCTTTCTTAGCAACAATCCTGCAAAGGTATCGAAATTAGCCATATATTGCGTAGAGTGCAATGTATTTATAAATAAGCAAATGAAGGTATTTCAATCTCTTAATTTTTCCCGTTAAGCCATTTCTTTCTGCCTTACTGAAATGTATACTTACGAATTTACGCGTTCGTTTTACTGAATAAATTAAAATCAAGTGGAAACAAGATTTATTCACAAATAGCTGTATATAGAATAGAATAGAATAGAAGTGTCGGCGTTGAAGAAATAGGCCCATGGCCTGTTGCCGATTCTTGAACTTTTCGTGACTTGATTCACAAGGGATCCGGCCTTTGGAACCCGATCTTTCCATAACTGACGATTGATTGAGATAGCTGCTGGACTTATTGCCTGCTCCGTAATTTGCTAGGCATTTTAAGACTGAACATATGCTCTGTCTCTTATACACATCTAGATGTGTATAAGAGACAGGAGGAGGAGACTGTCTATCCTGTTTATATTTTCAGTCCACATACGGAGGAGGAGACTGTCTGCCCTGTTTGGATGACTTGGACTGGGTAGAAGTGAGCTACACAGATAACGATGAAGATAAACCAAACAACCAAGCTGAAATCGTGATCAACTATGACAACTCTGTGATTTATCCTAGTAATGCTACTGGTGAGATCAAGTAAAAGGCTTTCTAGAAAAACTTTAGTGCGGAAAATTTAAATAGGCTTCGCTATATTGTTCAGCAAAAACTTGATCAAAGTTCTTGATTATTTTGAAAAAATAATTCAAGATTTTATGGTTAAGGCGTACTTCCATTTTCGATTACAACTAGTTCGATTTGGATAATATTTCAAACCTTACCTATGAAACAAATTTTCCGCCTAATTATTTTCAAACTTTCTCTATGATAATCTTAGCATATACGAGACTAAATAGCTACACAACAAGGATACGAGTAGTTCGTATTTAAAAAGAATATTTTATAATAGAAATTGTAATAATAATAGTTATAGTATTACTAATATTATAGTTACAATATTTATAATAATGGTTATAACATTACTAATATCATAGTTACAATATTTATATAATAGGTAATATTTACTGAGTTTATTAAACTTTGTGTTCTACAGGGCAGCTAGAAAACTTCATTATGAAAGCTGCGTCTAAACCAAGAACTTTCAACCTTTGCCTCAAGTCTGACATGGTCGGCAACTTGAGTCGGACTGAAGCTTTGGCCTATAACGTGAGCAGTAACATGTTTAGTGAAGTTCCCGTATTGATATTGTGACGAAAATCTTATGTAGTATTGAATTTGAAATTATTTCAATTGAACAAGTACAGAGATAAAATCATATATTATATGTGGAAAATTAAAATTTTATAGATTTAATGAAGTGTGCTGCTTCTTTGCAGAATTATGTGGCACTTCTTATCAGTGTTAAATCCAGTTGTAGGCATCAATTATGTCCCTTAACTGCACATTGATATTACGTTAATTTTGTTGGATCGGTAGCAGTTTAACGATTAAATTTGAATCAGTGCTTTCACTGTGGTTCAAATCATCAAAAATTAGTTTTATATAATTTTTCGTCAGGGCTATTAAGGATGAAATATACTTAGCTACCAGTAAAATAGCTTTTTGTTAAATGAAATTTCAATTATGATCGTAAATATCATCCATAATAGTTTTATATTATCTTTTATTTGGGCTTGCATGGAAAATATCTTCCTGCTTCAACATTGCGACGACTTGGCGCTAAACTAAATTAAATATCATTTGATTGAAATCATGCATAAGATGTTCATATTATCTTCACTATTGGCTTGCGAAGAAAACATTTTCTTAGATTGCTATTGTTCTTTTTTTTTTGCAGCTGAGTTTAATAGCGACGGATTACGGCGAGCCTCCCCTGGTAACCTACTCGTGGATTTACGTTAACCTCAAGCCAGTCTCCGAGTTCGAACCCGCGTTCTGCACCAACATCACCGAGTGCCATGGCGAAACCTACATTTTAGGTGAGACGTCACCGTATAGAAATTAGAAATTTTAATAAAGCACGTATGTAACATTTTCCTATTAGTGTACTATGCATTTTTCATCTTAATATCTTATTTTACCATGACCGATATATTTATATCTATGTATATTTGTGGGGGTTTTTGGTATGCGTTTACAAAATTCTTTTTCTAATTTTCTCTGTAGAGGAAACAACGGATGCCGGAAAATTTAGGGTCGCTACAGATGAAGACAACCTCTACGCGGTCGATGACATCATTTATTATTACATCGTCGGTGGGTTGGCATAACATTAAGATATGCATTATGCATTTATTTATAATTTAATCATATAATCCTTGGACACAGAAAATCATCATATAAGATTACAACCTTATAATTAACTCTTGATTTTTGTATCAGGCAGTTTTTTTCTGGAAACCTAATGAACTGAATTCAATTTAATTTGGTTTATTTCAAGATTGAGGCTAACATTATTTTGAAAATTATTATTTTAATATTAATTTCGGCATTGAAATAGGAATGTCTAGAAATTACGGATAAATTTACTGTTCACATGAAATCGCAGGCTGTTGATAGATTTCATCTGTCAATGAGTTTATAACTGGCAAACATGTAGAATATTTTGAAGAGTTAGGCGAAAAATATAAATATAAAACTTTCCAGCCCTTTTCTCATCATATCAACCTAAGCCAGACCAGTAATTTTTTAGCTCAAAACAAGTACGGAGGAGCAAGGATATACATTCTTTTTAACTTTAAGAAACATTTTTTCGCAAGCATGCTTTCCTAGATACCGTTTATCAGTATGACATCATTGGTGCTATTGTAGCAATGAAAGCTCCATAGAACTCCTGGAGAAAAACATGTCTGGAGATTATTGATTATTAATTATTAATATATACGCTTAATTATTAATTAATAATAATTGATTGATTATTATTGATTGATTGATTTATTGATTAATTATTGATTAATATTTTTCGATTAATTGATTACACGCTAAGAGTTGACTTTTTACCAAATTTTATTAACTAGTCTTTGATTTCTAATTAATGCCGCAGGTCAGGAATTTGCAAATTTTGAGATCCCCGACCCTGAAGAGCCGTTTGTGAAACCACTCAAGCCTCTGGATAGGGATTACCCTGGACCTGGAGAGTACCTTGTACTAATACAAGCTACCAACTCCAAGAATCCTCCACTTTCTCAGGGTACCGACATCAATCCAACAACAACTGCCATGCTACAGGTAATAGTTGACTCCTTACTATTGTGTCTCTTGCAACAAAATAAAAGATTTTTGTCCGATGTTTTTAAGATTAAACAGATCTAGCATCATTTTGTTGATATCTTAGTTCTTTTACGTCGCATTAACCGACCACGGAATGTGGTCTATCATGCGACCATACTATTGGGCATAATTCTACATGGTAATGTTTCCTACAAATTTGGTTAGTTTATTATTTTTTATCATCAAAGGTTGAGTTTTTCTGCTGTGATTGTTTGATATTCTGGATTCAATTGAGGCCATTTTCTAATTTCGAGCTGTCGACCCACTTACTCCGCTAAAGGTACGACCCTACAAGTTTTAACTATTTTATATGAGACCCTGTATAAACAAGAATTTTAAGCGTCTATGTTGCCACAGATTTAGTTTCATATTTCTTCTATTGTTAACATACGAGAATTGTTGATAGTTGTTCCTATTTATCAACATTTTTAGGAGCTATTGAAATGTGCAACGTGTGGATTAAGGCTTCTCTGCTTCTCTTCATAAACATATTGAGGAGCCTGTGCATTGTGAAACGCATAAATTGACGCAAATATATATCAACTATGAAAGAGCTAATGCATCTACGTATTTATCCATATATTAAGAAGCGCAGGCCAGTATTGAGCTCACATATTATGAGGCCTAAACAGACATTCCAGCGATTTTTCAAAGCTGATTCCTGCAAATCACGGAAGCGAACTGAAGTTCTATCTTAGCACCATTGTACGAGATGGCAATAATCGCGCTGCACTTGCTAAAAATGCAATAAAAATTTTCGAATCCCGAAGTATGAATCGTACACCATTGCAAATCGTATCTCCAGACAAGCGAAACCCTCAACCTAATTTATGAATTTCAGCTGAAAATTGTCCTGATCTATAATGTCTCCCAATGATTTCAATATTTGCATTTCAGCTGAAAATTGTCCTGGTCTATATTGTCTCCCAATGATTTTAATATTTACATTTCAGCTGAAAATTGTCCTGATCTATATTGTCTCCCAATGATTTTAATATTTGCATTTCAGCTGAAAATTGTCCTGATCTATATTGTCTCCCAATGATTTTAATATTTGCATTTCAGCTGAAAATTGTCCTGATCTATATTGTCTCCCAATGATTTTAATATTTGCATTTCAGCTGAAAATTGTCCTGATCTATATTGTCTCCCAATGATTTTAATATTTGCATTTCAGCTGAAAATTGTCCTGATCTATATTGTCTCCCAATGATTTTAATATTTGCATTTCAGCTGAAAATTATCCTGCTCTATATTGTCTCTTAATTATTTTAATATTTGCATTTCAGCTGAAAATTGTCCTTATCGACAAGAACGACAACGCACCGATATTTGATTCAGAAGTTATCTACGGCAGTGTTCTGCAGACCGGCAGCGTTGACCAAGTTGCGGCATATCTGCTGGTACGAGAAAAATAGCTTAATAATACATATCGATTATTATGTGAATAATATATATGACAATTTTTTATTGCTTAAATTACGTTCTTTGCTTAGCATTTTTTATCAGATTGTACACACAATAATTTGTATTTGTATAAGATTGTACGTAAAATAAATATTTCATCAGATTGCCATGAAACATTTTGTGGAACGATTATTTTTTTAAATTTCTTTCGATAAATTACGGAAATTAAAAAAAAGATCGAGTATGATGATCGAGTACTTGTCAAGGTTACGAAAATCCGGCCAAAAGTTTGGTGGACCCATTATAGGCCATCAACTTGGTTCCCTTTGTTAAAGTTTGGTGCCTTTCAAATTGCAAAGTTTTCCGCACCACGTAAATCCTCACGTAACATTTGTTCACGCATTGTACATCCTTGAAAAACATTTGATTGCACATTATAGGTTCTAAAAGATCATTCGTTCGCTCATTGTACATCATGATAAAAAAATTTTCTCCACAAGTCTATTATCTTATTAAATTTGACCTCGTCTCAGCTATGGATATCAGCTTAATTATTTACAGAAGAATTATTATGAGTTATCCTAGATTCGTTACCCTAATTTGAGACGATTTTATTTTTTGATTTACGACGATTTTTCTAAATTAACCCAGAATTAATGTGTGCATGAAAAATTTGAAGGACAATTTAATTTTAAAAAGTATTACTTAATTTCATACCTTGATGTGAGACGCAAAAATAAATATTGCGGACTGTATCTGAGTGTATACGTCAAATTCTTAATTTTGTAACTGTTTTCATAATCTCAGCTCTCGTCATGAAAAAGGAAAGAGATTCCTATCCAGGAATTTATACACGCTGACAATTAATCATCTAGAATATCTAGTAATTTGATAAATCAAAGTCGAGGCACAACTTCTAATTACAAGGGTGTAATAATTAGATAAAATTAAAAAAGTACAGAGCGAACAAATAACCATTACAAGGTTGTAGTAATTAAATAATTGTCGTTTCTCAGGCTACTGACAAGGATCTGAACGAGACGCTAATCTATTCGAGGATTGGCGACATCAATTGGGATCCTGTCCAATACGATGACTCGGTGTTCCAGTAAGTACCCTAACAAAATTTAGAGTCGCCCCAGCTTCTGGTAATCCAAATCAGAAGCTAACGCGTCCGTAAATTTTCACTGGGTAGTAAAACTAATTGAAAAAAATGCTGCATTGCATAACGTTAGTTAAGATGTTTCATCTTGAATGAGCTAATTTTTTGTTACATTAATAACACATAGGAATATTAAAATAAGAACATCAACTTTTTCAGTATTGTTAATTTATTTATTAATAATATTTAATTCAGTGACTGATCTCTTCTCTAAGCATAATTTAAATTTTTTTAACAAAATTTTGCATTATGTGAAGCAAAATACAAATTGTAAGTTTGCTTTCACAACTTTTATTTGTTTGTCAACATTTCTGGCCATATTTAGAATCTCCTTCTAATGTTGAAATTTTATTTTTTTCCCGACTGAGCTAAAATTCGCTTTTATTTCAGAAAAAGCTTCATTCTGCGCGATTTCAATTTATATGCAGATATTCATAGTCGTCAACCAAAACTGTTTAATCTCATGAACATTTTACTTTCCCTTATTCGACTGTGATTTTTTGTTCATTTTGTTTTTCTCAGTAAATATTGTTAACCGTTCACCGAATCTCAAATTGAAGTTGATAGAACCTTATCAAAATTCTATTTAACCGACAACTTTTTCCTCGTCTCATCGTTTTGTAGCACAAGTGAAATTTAGGTCAAATTTTTATATTTTAGTCATAATTTGCTTTATTTATAGGTATAGGTAGTCATTTTGTGTAATGTAAGTACTTCTGCTGAATCTTTATTTCTAAGCCTCCATTGTTATCCACCAGCCAGAATTCTAGTTTTTAAATTGAAACGTCTATTAAATTAAAATGTTTTTTAGCAAAATAATTTTATCGATTTGCCGAAATAAAAAATTTTAAAATTTTTTAACGAAACTTTTATTGAATATTTTGAACTATTTTAATTGTTCGTTGAAATTGCATTGCGATGCTCTTTTTTAGCGCCTTTCCTCATTTATGGAAAAAATTCACTATTGTGCTCGCCATGTCCGTCCGTCCGTCTGTCCGTCTGTCCGTCTGTCCGTCCGTTCGTGACCTCAAGTTTTCGTCGACGAGAAAATGCGTTCTCTGTCACTCACTGCAGTGAGTACTGAGTTATATTTTTTAATATAATGCTGCATTTCGATGCCAGAGTGCTGGACGACTCAGTTACCGGCACCGTATGGCTGCGTCAGTCTCCTTCAAACCTGAAGGGGTATTGCACTTTTAGTGTTCAAGTCACCGATCACTTGGGCGGTGAGTTACAGCTCTATTCAATGAAGCGAGAACTTTTATTCGTATTATGCTTTTACAACAGCAATGTTTGTACTTGATAATACAAAGAACTTTAGAACTTAACAGTTAATAAAAAACATAAAAAGTCTGCTTGCTTCTATTATGTTGGATTAAACTCCGTCCTCAAACTCGGATAATGGACAGCCTTTGATTCCGTGGAGTTCTCTTCCGAAACCATTCTCGTAGATCACCTTGAAAATTTTTTTACATGAACTCTGGTGTCAATTATATTTTGTATTCATAGCTTACTTCAACCAATTAACTTCAATTTTTAGACAGTATATTAATTTTAAACTACAAATTGCTTTTTAAGTAGTCTGTATTATCATCCAGGAAATTGTATTAACATTTACGATAATATTAAAGTATTTAACCCTGAAAATATAAAGTTCAGATCCTGCATTTAAAAGTGTAACATGTTCGTATCTGAAGTACTGAAAGTATTGTTGTAAGTGCAGATGAGCACAAAGACACAGCCCTGGTTCAGATCTTCATCGTCACAACTGATGACGAAGTTTCCTTCTACTTCAAGAATGACATCGAAACGCTCATAAGTGTAGAAGACGACGTGAGTCATGCCTGTGTTGGTTTGTATTTTCGTACGTGTGTATGTGTGAGTACGTGTGTGTGTATTTATGTAAGCATATTTTATGCAAGTTTGATTAAATACCAGAGCATGCTTTTTATCAATAATAAAACTGCATAAGAGAAAAGCTTCTGCCGAGTTACTCCAATTTTCGTATGCTTATCTGTGCAGTTTCCGGTCAATTGTACGATGGTTATCAAAATTTTAGTTTATCATGTTTAGGCAACATAACTCAAATTCACAAACTCAAACTCTAATTCATGGCATGAGCTATGCACGGTAGCTCCCTTACTCAACTCTAGCCTTGAACGGTAAGGTTCAACAACTTGTGAAGCTTCGGACAGGTTATTGCTTCTGTGACAAGCTTTTACACCGTGACAACCTATTTACGGTTGCATGCTATATTTGGTCTAAATCAACAAGTCCAAACATCCCTGCAACAACTACATCACTGCCAACGAGATCACTGACATTCACTCTTCAACATTCGAGTACCTCGTATTCGTAGACTCCATGTCGACAGATCGCTGACTATCTCACTTCAACATTCGAGTACCTCGCATTCATAGAAACCATGTCAACATATAGCAGACATTTTCACTTCAACATTCGGCTACCTCGCGTTCATCGACTCAATGTCAACAGACCGCTGAAATTTTCACTTCAACTGAGGATGAGGTGAAGTGAATTTCACGCCTACTGGAGGAGGGAGCTGGCGTCAGTGGCGTGGACGTAGTATACCTAGACTTTGCTAAAGCTTTTGACAAAGTTGACCATGGGTGCTCTTTAGAAAGCTGAGGCTGTTGGGGGTAGGAGGAAGCCTATTAGGGTGGATCCACAACTTCTTTACAGACAGAGTATAAGCTGTCGCAATTGGAAACTCGAAATCGAGAGAAGCGGGGGTGAAAAGCGAAGTTCCACAGGGCTCAGTGCTTGGACCGATCCTCTTACCTCATCCACATTACTGATATCGACTCGGAACTTACCCACGCATCTACATCGTCATTTGCGGAAGATACAAGAGTGCTGATGAAGATCACAGATGACCTTGACTGCGAGAGGTTACAGGATGACTTGTCGACAATCTACGATTGGGCCCTAGTGAACAACAGAGTCCGCCCAGAGATCGGGATGCCACATCGCTACTTGGCATCAAATGACACAGAAATTGAGGAGAAGCAACTAGTTCCAGATCTCGGTGTGTTGATGAGTACCGAAGCTACGTTCGATGCCCACATCGAAGAAATAGTCGCGCGCAGCCGGCTGTGAATGGGGTGGATATGGCGGACATTTCGAACGAGAGGAGCAGCACCAATGATTACACTCTTCAGGGCCCTTGTGCTCCCCAATCTAGAGTATTGCTGACAACTTTGGGCATCACTCAAGGCGGGTGCGGTGCGGAAACTAGAGCTAGGCAGTGCAGCGGACCTTCACGTACAGGATCAGCGGCACGAGGGAGCTGAACCTGAACTACTGGGAAAGGCTGAAACACCTGGGACTGTACTCACTGGAGAGGAGAAGATAAAGGTATATTATACTGTACACTTGGAAATGATAACCGGACTGGCTCCCAACTTTGAGGGTGAGACCTCCAGAATAATGACATAGTGCAACGAAAGGAGGGGAGAATGTGCAGGATTCCCCCATTTAATAACCGAGCCGCGGCCAGAGTACAGACTCTTCGTGAGGGATAACTGTCCGTGGTAGGACCGAGGCTTTTTAATGCCTTGCCAAAAGTGCTGAGAGGAGGGGAGTTCACCCTTACAACATTCAAGAGACGACTGGACAAGTGGTTGAGAAAGATCCCGGATTGTCCAGTAATGGGATACTACCCTCAGCGAGTGACAAGCAACAGCATCTTGCATCAGCTGGCCCAAAAGAGGGCAAATATACGGAACACGCCCAACATTACAGCCGGCACCCGAGGGCGGGGTGTCCTGCCGAGCAACGACTCGGAGACGGAGGACGATGAAGGCGGCGCATCAGCGTGACCGGGGACTAGGAAGTCCCAAACTCGTCATAAGGTCCACATTCGGTTACCTCGCGTTCATAACCGGCGGGGGCGACAACACAACCCGTGACTCCGTCGTGGCGGCGCACTTCGTCGACAACGCCACGGCGCCCCTACGCGCCGCAGACTCGGCGCCCGGTAACATCGTGCCGCCCAATGTCATCGAGAGGTGATTTTACGCATTTTATTATTTTAAGTTGATTTAAGCTAATGAAACTCTAATCAAATTTAATTGAAATTCTCAGCAATCAATATTGATTAATAAAACTTTTACCAAATTTAGCGTTCGGTTCGATTATAGTCACGTGAGTCCATTGTGACCCTTCTACTCGCTATACACTCTTCAAAATAGACTGTTATATAAGATATAACTGTTAATAGACTGCTAACGTTATTTCGAATTACGGTAACAACTTTAAATGACATAATTGTATGAACTCCACTTCAGTTTGGCCTCTTCGGCGGTGACCAGCTCGCAGCTTCAGTCATCCTTGAGGATGCTTGGTTTGGACCTCTACCAAGTGGGGGAGTCTCCGATCTCCAACCGCGACGAACTGGAGGCCCAACTTTTAACTTACCAGATAACGCTTGCCGTGGTCGCCATGGTACTTGGCTCCCTGGTCTTCCTCCTGACCACCGCGTACTGCGTCAGGACTAGAAAGTAATTATTAACATGCGTATGTGATTCAGAATAAGTGAAAATTTTTATTGCCATGAAAAATATTGGATTAAAGTTATGTCTAATTCGTTCTTGATGTTCTTTTAACAGGGCATTGTACGTCTTCTGTCTTAATTCACATCGTTTTAATCCAATTTGCCTTTCCTTTTCTCGTTTTGAGAAATATAAATGTTATATTATATAAATATACGAGAATGTTAGTAGGAAATTGAGAAATGCGCTAGGACTATCAGCTGGAATATTAATGTGCAATAAATATACTGTCAGGCGCTATATAAAACGCCACTTGAGGACAGGGATTCGTTGACAAAGTTTGTGAGGGATAACTAAACACCGTCTGCAGGTCTAGAGATCTTATCTTGATACGGGGTGGTTATATGTGAGGGATGCGATACAGGTAAAGCTAAGACGTCAACCGTTAGGTAGGAGTAGCTTTAACGCTGGTTACATTGCGGCGTGCGTACTTGTCAGCTTCTGGGGGGCTTAAATAAAGTTCCCAGCCCTTTTATTGAATCACGGCTTCCGCCCACTACTGAGGTCTTGATCACATGATCTATCACGTGATGTTGCCCGTGCTGACTCAGGTCTAGTACTGTTCCATCAATCTCCACCACGTCTAATGAATATTACGTCTCAATTATAATTCATAGAATTTTACGCCAGGGGCCTTACTTTCAAAACTCGCTAAGTGATCGTAAGTACTTACGCTCTATTTTCTTGTCTGTGATTGGTGGATTTTTCTTGAAAAGCCGTCAATGATTGGCGGATGAACTTACGATCTCTTAACTTTTTTGGAAAGTATGGGCCCTGATTGACACCCGACACTATAAACTTGTGCAGGCTGGAGCGCCGTGTCAAGGTGCTCACGACCAACACGTTCGGCTCGCACTCCTCTGATCTGAACCGCGCCGGCCTCGCGGCGGTGCCCAACAGCAACTTGTTCAAGGGAGAAGGAACCAACCCTATGTTCAACATCTCCTTGCAGGAGTTCAACAAACAGGAAACTGGGAGGTGGGCCAATTTGAAACTTTTGGTTATGTTGGTACCAACTCAATGTGTATCCTGGAGTTCAACACTCAGAAAACAGGAAAGTACAATGTATCTACGCGTGATATCAACTAGAAACTGGAAAATTGCTCGATCGTGAAGCTCTGATCACTCTCAATGTGCACTATTAATATTCACGAAAAACTTGATATCTATTACGATTGTAACCTATGAATATAATTATGTCCGATTCACCTAAAGATGTCTGATCGAATCGAGTTCACAGAAAATCAGTGTCATCAATAAAATTTCCTTTCTGTGTATTTTTTAGAGTTTCCAAACAGAATCTTCAGATTAAATTAGAAATTATAAATTTAAAAGTTGAAGCCCAGTGAATTTACTACCGTCTTTAATTACCACGAATTTCGCTTCAGCATAAACAGCGGTGATTCGGTGCTGGTTGGGGTTGAAGACAACCCGGAATTCCGCGATTACAAAGCCGGACAGAAGCAGGACAACAGCAGCAGAATGGATGCTCCTGCTTACGTGGGCGCGGATGGCGTAGCGTCTAACAATCCGCTTTTTGCTGTCCTCGACCAGCCGTCAGCTACAGGTACATTAGAGGGGAGTGTATATAGTGGCTGTGTAGCGCGACGTCAGCTACAGGTACATTAGAGGGAAGTGTATGGTGATTGTTTGATACAAAGATCCCTCCACTTTTGTGTGTAGAGAAGGTCCATTAAAGAAGTAGGAAAGTAAATATCCAGGGAGGCAGCATCGACTAATCACTAATTCATTATATAATTCGATTTTAATGCATAAATGAGAAATAGACTATATCTTCAAGAAGTACAAGATTTATGGGCCCTAAGTTTATGGACTCATGTACCTTACAAATGATTGAATATATCGATAATTTCATTTTGAAGTTTCGCAATGTTTTGAATTTTTTATGCATACGTATCCAAAGTAGAAACTTTTCTGCATATGAACCGATTTAACCGATCCTGCTTTTTCCTTCAATACCATATTAACTTTCACCATCTGATCCCTTGCAGCCTATTTGTAGTGTCTATTGCACCAACCACAACTTAATTATTTTCGCCAACTGCCACAATAATTTTTAACAGTTACCATAATAACTTTCATCAGTTATCATAACAACTTTCTCCAGTTGCCGTAATGACCTTCAACAACTAGAATACCAACCGTCACCAGTTTCAATAACAATCTTCATTAGCTCGAATAACAACCTCCACCAGCTATCATAATAATCTTTACCAGTCAACATATTAACTTTCACCAACTATCACAATCACTTTTACCAACTAACATAATAACTTTCACCAACTACCACAATCACTTTCACCAACTAACATAATAACTTTCACCAACTACCACAATAACTTTCACCAACTACCACAATAACTCTCACCAACTAACATAATAACTTTGATCATCTCTCCATCAGCGCCTTCAGACCAAGGCAGCGACGGAGGCTCGTACGTCGCCGGGGACCTAGGGACCCCGAACTCGAACTTCATTTTCCAGTGACAAGTGCAACAACAAGAATCTTTAACCACGTAATCAAAATATATGTCTTTAATTATTACAATATAAAACTCATGTTAAAATTCATTGCTTCTGAAGGTAAATGAGTTATTTACCACATGGACTGACAGATTTACTTTAAATTGTATTCTCGGACATACCATCAAAAATACCTTTGAGACGAACCGAATACAAAAATAAATTCATGCTCAATGTCACAAAATAAATAAAGAAGTCAACAGGGATTCGCCTGAACATCTCCTTTGGACCGGCCACCGTTAAATTATTAAACATGATTTTGACTTGCCACGATCTCTGGAGGCTACTAACCAATTATTTTATTAATTATTCGAGTAGTCAATGATGAGTTCAGGTGTGATCAATTAATCGACAATTGAACGGGTTCGTGAATATCATGCGGCGTACGGCTGAACATATTCTAGAATATGGTTATATCATATGGCATAGAGAAAAATCATAAAGTAAGTTCGCGTTAAAACTTGCAGGAAGAGACAACAAATTTCTTCTTAATTGTTGTTACATTAGAGATAGCTACGATATTATTATTAAACACAATTATATAAGCATGTACTAGTCATTATTTGAATTTGCATGTTCATAATTTTGTTTTGATTTATACCTACACTTTCGATGTCAATTTATAAAGCCTAATTTTAAGAACTGTTTAAAATCAATAAATGGTATGTAAACATAGCTTACCTAACTTTTCCGGAAAATATTACTTATCGTAACGCGCATCACAACGCTACCCGTTACATGACTTACTATCGTTACCATCTTGCAATGCCGTCATACACTACCCTTTGCATTGTCACACTACACAGCCACCATACACTGCCCTATATATAGCACTGCCACACTTCACTGATACACTGCACTGTCACACTTCACTGTCACACTTCACTGCCACACTGCACTGTCACACTGCACTGTCACACTGCACTGTCACACTTCGCTGACACACTGCACTGTCACACTTCGCTGACACACTTTACTGTCACACTTCGCTGACACACTGCACTGTCATACTTCGCTGACACACTTCACTGCCACACTTCGCCGACACACTGCACTGTCACACTTCACTGACACACTTCACTGTCACACTTCGCTGACATACTTCACTGTCACACTTCGCTGACACACTTCACTGCCACACTTCGCTGACACACTTCACTGCCACACTTCGCTGACACACTGCACTGTCACACTTCGCTGACACACTTTACTGACACACTTCGCTGACACACTTCACTGCCACACTTCGCTGACACACTTCACTGTCACACTTCGCTGACACACTGCACTGCCGCACTTCGCTGACACACTTCACTGCCACACTTCGCCGACACACTTCGCTGACACACTTCGCTGACACACTTCACTGACACACTTCGCTGACACACTTCGCTGACACACATCGCTGACACACTGCACTGTCACACTTCGCTGACACACTTCACTGACACACTTCACTGCCACACTTCGCTGACACACTTCGCTGACAAACTTCACTGTCACACTTCGCTGACACACTTCGCTGACACACTGCACTGTCACACTTTGCTGACACACTTTACTGACACACTTCACTGACACACTGCACTGTCACACTTCACTGCCACACTGCACAGTCACAATACAATGTCACACAACTCTGTCACACTACTCTGTCACACTACTATGTCACACTACTCTGTCACACTACTCTGTCACACTACTATGTCACACTACTCTGTCACACTACTCTGTCGCACTACTCTGTCACACTACTCTGTCGCACTACTCTGTCACACTACACTGTCACACTGCACTGCAACCCTGCACTGCGACCCTGCATTGCGATACTGCACTGCAACAACACAGCCTAACTGCGCTGCCTCATGATGACCCTGAAGGGCTTGGGGATGATAATCATGCGCTCGGCAGGGTCGCGTTGAGTGCTCAGTACCTCGCCCTCGGGAGCCTCGAACACGAAGGTTTGCAGCAGCGCGCTGCCGAACAGGAACATCGTCTGCCGGGCCAAGTTCTCTCCGGGGCACACGCGCCGACCTGCGCAAATATGACACCATTTTATGGGGATACTAATATATGAATGTGGCATTATTTTACGAGAATACTAACTTATACATACAAATATGACATTATTTTGCGGGGATACTAATATATAAATACAAAAGCGAAACTATTTTACGAGGATACTAACTTATATATACAAATGTGACATTATTTTACGGGGATACTAAGAAATGCGATACCATTTTTCGGGAGACTAATATATATTTCATTTTTTTTGCGGGGACACTAATATATACATAAAAATGCGACATAGTTTTGTGGGGATACTAACTTATACATACAAATGTGACGCTATTTTGCGGGGATACTAACTTATACATACAAATGTGACATAGTTTTGCGAGGATACTAACTTATACATACAAATGTGACACTATCAGAGAGCCTCAAAAATCAGAGCCTCAGTGGGGCCTCTGAAAAATAACGATGTCCTTGTTGGAGACGACCAGGGCATGTGCGAACTTCTGCATGGGAGCTCAATTTCAAAAAGTATTCAGCGAACCCCGATACTCAAGACAGGAGAACGAAATTGGAGTCATTCAAGAACTTCCAGGGACCGGGAGCTGATGAACATTGAGTTTGAAACACCGGATCTAGAGATGAGTATTCAGGAATTATCTACGTATTCGGTTCCCGGGCCGGATGGGGTCCCTGCAGTATTACTGAAAAAATGTGTCGGTGCATTAAAGGTCCCTCTGACTTTGCTCTGGAAAACATCATTGAGATAAGGAAATGTTCCAAGTGACCTAAAATTAGGGCTAATTACCCCTAACCTACAAATGAGGTGCAAGAGACAAACCCCAAAATTACAGGCCGGTTACATTACCATCACACGTAATCAAAGTATTTGAGGAGGTTGTTGCCAGAAGGTTGGTGCAGTACATGGAAGACGCTGACCTTTTCAACAGAAGGCAACACGGTTTAAACGAAATCGTTCCTGTTTTTCTCAGTTACTGGAGCATCACCACCCAGTCCTGGCCATGCTGGAGAAGGGGGCCGGGGTGGTGGCCTCTTCAGAGAAGTAAGAATCCTGGGAGTCGGAGGTGAATTGCTGGCATGGATCCACAGCTTCCTAACAGAAAGACTACCTGCTGTCGTTGGAGGAGGCTCGAGATCGAGCGAGGCTAGGGTGAAGAGTGGAGTACCACAGGGAACGGTACTCGGCCCAATCCTCTTCCTCATTCACTTCGCCGACATAGATGTGGCTGTGAACCACGCCACTGCACCGTCATTCGCGGACGACACCAGGATACTAATGACCATAACGGACAGAGGGACTGCGAGAGGCTGCAAAAAGACCTCTCTGCAATATATGACTGGGCCCAACTGAGCAACATGCAGTTCAACGGGACCAAGTTTGAGGTTCTGAGATACAGAGGTAGCGGAAGAGCTGGTATGGAGCACCGCTACCTACCACCTGACAACTCGGATATCGAAGAGAAGCAACTTGTTCGTGATCTAGGAGTGTTGATGAATACTCAGGTCAATTTTGGTGATCACGTAACGGCAATAACCGCAAGAGGTAGGCGACAGATGGGGTGGATCTGGCGGACGTTCAGAACAAGATAAGCGGAACCGATGATCACACTTTAGAACCCTTGCAATACCAATTCTTGAATACTGCTGCCAGCTCTGGACCCCGTTTCCACTCGGCGCAGTGCGACAACTGGAAGGTGTCCAGCGAACCTTCACTTCCAGGATCAGAGGGATGGAATAGTTGAACTACTGGGAGAGGTTGAGGCACCTGGATCTGTATTCACTGCAGAGGAGACTGGAGAGGTATGTCATTCTGTACACATGGAAAATGATAACCGGAATGGTGCCGAACTTCGAGAGTGAGAACTTCAGGATTGAGACATATCACAACGATAGAAGGGGGAGACTGTGCAATATCCCCCCATTACGTAACAGATCCGGAATCTGATTTCAATCCCTGCGGGAAGGATCACTTTCCGTGGCAGGGCCAAGGCTGTTCAACGCCCTACCAAAGGATCTAAAAGAGGGGGAGCTCACCCTGGAGACCTTCAAGAGACAACTGGACGTTTTCCTGGGCACAATCCCAGATCGACCTCCCCTGCATCACTACCAGCGGCGAGAAGCAAGCAACAGCATCGTACATCAGGTGGCCCAAATGAGGGCGGATGAACGATAAAATCAGAGGCGGCGATCCATCGTGGCCTGTCACTGTAGCCATGAGATTTAAGAGCATTGATGAACTTTACGCGCTTGTAATATTCATACTAGATTCACTTAAAAAAGTAAAAAAAGGCACTTTAACTGAACCTAACCTAACCTAACCCAACCCAACCCAACCCAACCCAACCCAACCCACCAACCCAACCTAACCTAACCTAACATAACATATTCTAACCAAAAATGACACCTGCGACCAGACCCATGATCGTGGCTTTTTCATCGTAAGTGAATTTCTCGTTAAGATAAAGGATGGTTTTTACTCTAAGTGCAGAGGGTTATCAAATTTTCAATTTACAGCAAAAATGATTATACCGTTATAATCAGCGTCGCAAGAGCTTTCTTATGCACTATAAAGATAATCTGAGACGTCGATGGATCAAAAGTTATTAAACACTTCACTCGGATGATTCATTCGTTAAGTGAGCCCAATGGGAATATCTAAATAATTTTGACCCATGGCTTTTGGAATATTACGAGCACGTACATGTAGTAGTGAGGTTTACGACTGCAGTAGTGTACATTAAATTGTGCACCGGGCTTACGTCGAACTGAGGTAACGGAAATTCTTTACATTAAATTTTCGGAACCTCTGAGACACCTGGGTTCGAATCTACCTCTGAGACACCTCGGCTCGACCCTCCCTCTAAAACGCTGGGCTCGCGCCTGCCTCTGAGACACCTGGTCTCGAGCTTACCTCTGAGACACCTGGGCTCGAATCTACCTCTGAGACACCTGGGCTCGAGTCTACCTCTGAGACACCTGGGCTCGAGTCTACCTCTGAGACACCTGGGCTCGCGTCTGCCTCTGAGACACCTGGGCTCGCGTCTGTCTCTGAGACACCTGGGCTCGCGTCTGCCTCTGAGACACCTGGTCTCGATTCATCTTTCCGGAAACTTATTTTCGCCGCCACTTCATTCAGGTATGCGAACAGCGAGTGCAACGTACCCGTATCCGGAAGCGACTTAAAGTATTCTCTGTCCCCGTCACTCTAGATTCAAGCATTTTAAAATGTTGGGATCATTTGAAAATTGAACGGGAATCTTGTTTGAACAACGTTTACTTATCTCACCCGCTTGATTTTGTCTATAGCTATAATGATTTATTTGTTTCTTTGTCGCTAGCTGGTCAACTTATGAGTTTTAGTCTCCACCGTGAAAATTTTGTCGTTCAAATTTATCCTGCTTCAATTTGAAAGTTTTTTATGAAGTTTGTCTAAAAAAAATTTCAATAGAAATTATGGTGAATATATTTGGAATTACCTTTGAATAAAATTCTCATGAAATTCGATGCTATGAGACAATTATTCCACTTTAATACTATAAGCAACGAAGAAAACAAAATTTTACATCGCGATTGCCCCCTTTAAACAAAATCAAATCGCATCCCATCAGACGTGAAGGGGTACCCT